TTTCGTAGTTGAGCTGTGTGAACTCTCCTACAGGTCACTGTGGATATCCTGTCAGTAGGTTTTTATCTTTGTATATGGTGAATGCACTGTCTAAATCAACAGCTCAGTGACAACTGCAACTGTGATAATGGAGACTCCTGTTTCTCTGAACGCTAATTGGCACAGACACCTATTGATCTGTTAGCTGGTGCAGCAGCGCAGTCGGAGACCTGCAACGTAAACACACAGTTCCACTAATTATAGGAACCGTCTCTGATTTAATCTGGGTCATTTCTCTACATGACAATGACACTGTGCATAAGTGATTAATTAGTAGACGGTACGTTGTTGTTCATAGTGTGCGCCGGTTAATGTCTTTTAGTGGTTTGTTGCCACAAATTAGATATAACATGGGGATTTGATGAAAACCCACAGGCTATTAAAAACTGTCAGCATGATCTTTGTATAGCATGGATGGTATTTTTAGATGTTGTGTTTACAGATACCTAAACAGGAATTTGTGGACTGTCATTTGAAGTCAATTTTGGAGTTTCTCAAAAAATCAGCTTTAACCATCGCACTCGCCTAACAGGTACATTCATCAAAAGTTTTTGTAAAGATCAAATTTCTAGATATGTTCTGTAAATATCCATGTGTTTTTTAATATATCTTGCTGAAGTCTTTGTTTATTATCCTGAATTAAAGAAAAAGATGATATGTGGCCTAATTTATCGGTCAACACTGGTGTTGGAGACAAGGACAGTTCTTCTGAGACCAAATTTTAAAATTCAACAAATATTTCAATACATTGTTTTTTGTACAGCACAAAATGCAAAACGTAATGATTGCTAAGATGACTGGCAAGTAATTTTTCCCTAAAGTAAGATAAATTTGCTTCATTTGGATTTATTATGTTGAAAGTCAGGCTGGTAGTTTGAAAACTATAAAGATTTCACTCCAGCTGTAAAACAGGAAAATAGTTTAACTCAATTTTATGCTACTCAGAATAAAATATAATGGTGATTTTAAACCAAATGACTATTTATTCACTCATCAGTTTTCATATTTCGGTAAGAATCAAAATATCAATTCCTAAATGTTATAAAAAAAACATTACAAATTTGCTAATCACTTTTTTGCCAAGGTTATTTTGGATATTTTTTTATGAATTCCTCTGAAAGGGAAAGTGCAATGCTAAAAGCCCAGTTCAGAAAATTGGTTTTTAGTGAAGTTATCTGCTATGTTCTGACAACAGTAGTCCGTCTTTTCTGTTGCAGTTCACTGAATCTTTTTGTGCTTCAGTGATTCATAGATTAGTGCTAAGAACCTTAATGAACAAAACATCCTCTTCCAATAGCCGCCTACCGGACTGAAAAGTACCAAAAAATACCCTCTAGAACTCTGTCAGACACCAAGGGGAACAACTGATCAAGACCACTTTAAACTATTACAGAGAGAGATTACAGAAAAGTCTGGATTCTTATCAGCAAAACAATTTAAGGGCAGACTGAAGATTTGTGCATGGTACCGCACGTAAGAATATAAAAGCACCAAAAATATACATAAAATCTGAAAATAATAAACACGAGCCTACTGCTGCTTTTGTTAACGAAACCATTGCCTAGCAACCAAGAAGGTCTTAGAATAAAAGTATGTCTCCTTGTTACTGCTTGATGTTTGGTTACCTGCCACAACATCAGCTAAATCTGGCTTCCAGCATAAACCACAACAGGAGTCCTTCAATTACTGAAACACTTTGACACAGCCTTTTTTGATTTTCCACCCACTGAGTAATTAACCTTGAAATTTTGCTCAAAGCTCAGCGTATTGGAGTGCAACCAAAGTAAATTTTTCTACACCTGATGAGAGAAATGCAATGGAAACAAAGGAGCAATACATAAACTCTGACAAACTTACCTTTTCGTTTAGAGAGTGAAAAACTCAAAGATCTTGTTTTACTAATGTACAGCCTGCTCTGTTTGTATCTGCTATTCCTCTAGCTGCTCACTGAAATAAACACCACATCATATATGTGAGGCATTTACTCTTACTTTAAGTCTAGTCACAGTTGTTCTTGCACCAGACTATAAATATGGTCTTCTGAAAGTAAAATTGCAGATAAATACAAAAGACAAGAATAGAGAGAGACAGTGAAGTGGGGTAAAAATGTTTCAACATTCTCATCTGTTCTTGACATGGCTCAGATCAGAGCGACATTCTGTTTAACCAATTACTTGATTATACAGAGCTGCTGGTGATCATGTCTAGGTGTCCCCCACCCCCACCCCAAAAAAGTGGTTATTCATATTTGGTGCTTGATTAAACAAGGCCACATTGTCAACAGGACTATGTTGATTTAACTTCTCTGTCATATTATCTGTGAAGGTTAGCTTTTGGTTTCCGCTTCATTTTCTGAAGCTCATCCTAAGATGCCTGAAATTCCATGAAAGAGAGCCATATCACACACATAACGTGTCAGCTGAGAGTGAGCGTTTAGCACTCAGCTTGTATTAAAGGAGGAGTGAAAGGTGAGCCGTGACAAACCACCGTGTGACCCGATTCTCACGGCAGCATGTATGTAAGTGCCTGACAGTCTTCAAGTTTAAAGTAAAAGGGATTTGAACATGAGGTCATCAAGGTTGGGATTAGAAGAGGAGAAAGATCCAATCAGAGAGCAGGAGTGCTGAACGTTTAAGTTCAATATTAAGGCTCTGCTTTTATGAAAGTTAATCTTCTACCACTGGATGATGTGAGGATGAGAAATAAAAGGTCATGACCCCAGGGATCCACTCTGGTCCTGGAACGGTGAAGGGAAGTCACCATATTTTTTTCTGCTGGAGTTTATTTCTTTTTGCAAATTATCCAACACGAAGTGAAAAAAAAAAAAAAATGTGAAGGGAACAAGAAAAAGAAGCACGAATCCAAAGGGAGGCCATGAGGGATTTTTAAATACAGAAACAAAGCCGTGTTTGTGTGAGAGGAATCAAAATGGGAGGGATACACCAGTGGCAAAACAGAACAACTGTAATGAGTAGAAGAGGGTGGAATAATCAGAGGTGATCCAGAGGACATGCATATTTTTATCAGCAAAATCCAGTTAAAAAGATGGGAGAAAAGCAAGACGGCAGCTATCAAACATTTTGGTAATCAAATAATCCTAATGAATAGTCCCTCAATGAATTGAGTAATCTGACATACATATGCTGTGCCAGGCAATCTGAAATCTGTTTTCCCCCAATTTAGATCTACAATAACTGCAGAGTGTCCCTTTTCCCCGACCAGGACATGCCGTCATTTCCCACCATTCAGCCAATTCTGTGCTTGTTTTTTATGGAAAGTTGACCTAGAATTAAAACTAATGCAACACTGATGTCATCCTGTCCAACGATGATGACTTGAGTCTGAGAATGCATCCAGAATTTGAATCTGGCGATGTGATCCCTTTATATCAGACTGATTTGATCATATTTTTCTGTGTGTCCTCATGCAGCAGTGCTACAGGAGACATTTAACCCTCACCTGCAATCACTTTGAATAATCTCTAAGCCCTTTTATTCACAGAGGGTTCTCAGCTGTTCCGGCTGGTGTTGACCTGTACTTTCACGTCCTGGAAACCACCACATGCCTACACATCGAAAGATGAACAGCAGCCAGCTAAGCTGACGACAGACATGGATAAAAACAACCAGATGCTTCATTAAGAAATGGATGAAGTAAATGTAACAGAGCTGTTTTGGCTTCACTGATCCCGGTGTTTTTGAAACTTCAGTCACTGATGATTCAGATGCTGCCTTTGTTTGCTGTTGTATTAGTAATGATTGACTTTGTCTGTGGGCCGTCCCATTCATTTCAAGAACACATCCACCTGCAAAGCACTTCTATATGCAGGGTGCTTTATTTGGTTTACTGAATAAACAAACACATCTGGATAAAAAAAAAAGATGAAATACCTCCTCAGCATGTTAGAAAGTTTAGCAAATGCCTGGTCATTAATCATTCATCTGATTCAGATGGGTTGGAGTTGCTGACCATCACTGTAGAGTACGATTGCTTCTCTTTTAGTTGATATAGTTTGAAAGCTATGGCTTTCAGAGTGTTTTTTTCCAACTTTTCTTTGTAGTTCCCCATCTTCTTGTTTGTTTTTGTAGTTCTACGACATAAAGCATCAACGAGATATTGAGATATTCAAATCCCTTAAAATACTAAAACCACAGTCAAAAGGTGGATTTCAGAATGTATACATGTGTTTTTTCACAGAAACTGACTCATTTGATCAAGCAGTGGTGACTGTTCATTTACGAAATATTGTCAATCATCCTATTCTGAGGCAGAAATGACATCCCACATACAGAAGATCAGCTGTGACACTGTGCCAGCCCTCCTTATGAAGCTTAAGCTCCTTTTTGTCCAACAAAGTGCTTGAGCACAGAACAACTGATGCCATCCTGGGGGTCTAAAAGCGTTTGCTATAAGGTTCCTTTAGGTGGAATGTCAGTAGAGTAGATATCTCTCTTTTATATTTACAAAGGATAAAGTTCGTAGGTGTCTACAAAATACTTTAATAACGTGGTTAACCCCTTCGCCACCACAGCACCCCCAGAAGAATGCTTTTTATCAGGTATAGTCAGTTCCCATTGTTAACTGAATCCTTGGAGGTATGCAGTGATACAGATTGTCACATATTTAAGCAACAAGATATAAATTACCCATTTTTAATACCACATCTTTCCTCAAGTTTTGCTGGATCATAAAACAATGCAACCTCCAGACAGTGTTCAACCACCTGCATCTGAAATCTCCTATTAACTGCTGGTACACCTTACTATTCAATCCCACCTTGTCAAACTAAACCGTCCTTTCTTTCTTCAAACAAAAAGTAAGAATTTCTGAGCATAAATCTCAACAAAGAGTGATCAGTAAAGTTACGACGTTTATGTAAATTAGCAGTGAGGAGAGTTTTGTTCAAAGGTTCATCTTGCATAAAGACACTGTTGAAACCAAACATTTGTTGCTGTACTCACCCATCCGGACGGCAGATAGGGTGTTGGCCTGGCTGAAGAAGAGAGGCGCCATAGTCAGCAGCAGGACGACAACATAAATCGACAGCAGCAGTGCTGGCAGAGCCGGCATCTTCCACTGCTCCTCATGGAGAATGGTCTGCTGGCTGCCTGTACCGCCACCTTCAAGACAAATGGAAGCGCCATTACTACCGATTACTCATATATACCATATACGCTAGCACTGTGGCATATCACGTATTATTTAAGCAGTGATGTCACCCACTTTATTGAACAGACTTGGATATTAACAAGGATGGTACGAAATTTGTTGCTCAGTTGAAAACTTCACACATGCTTGACTCACAAACAAAGTTAAATGTCAGATAAAAGGGTAAAAAGGTGTAAAAAAAAATCCAAAATGGAAAACACACAGTTGATAGTTGCTTTTTTTTTGTACATAATAATACATAACAGTTTTTCTCACTATCTGACATTAAGACAGATGAAGGTTTTTAGTTTTATAATTTCTCTTCGCTAAGTGCCAAAATAAGAAGTTGTTTGGTAATTTTCTTCAAAGATAGGAATTTAAATACATCTGTTTGACTTCTGGTAATATTTGATTTAAAAAATAATAACTTGGGTCAAATGTTTAGGTATCTTTCCATGAGATTTTCTGAAGTTATTGCCCATTTCTAATAGTCTGAAAGAATCAGGTTCTTTTAGCCTACGTTGAGACTGAGATCCGAACTTTGTGATGGTCACTCCAAAATATTTACGTTATCCTTCTTAGGCCACTTTGTAGCAAAGCTGACGTAATTCTTAAAGTCATTTGGAGAACCCAGTTGTGCCTAAGCATTAATTTACCCGTTGATGCATTAAGATGTTGCTTCAATACTTCCAGGTAATGTTCCTCAGGGTGCAATTTGCCAAAGCATAGCTATTCCCTCTGCAGCAAAACACAGCCACTTCATAATGTAGCCAATTCCCCTTTGAATATTATTATTATTATTATTATTATTATTATTATATAAAAAAAGACAAGCTTTGTCCAGGGGTCCTGTAACCTGTAGTTCTCTTTGGATCTGCCACAATATTATTGGGTTTTAATAAGTTTGGCTAAAAATGATAATTCCATCCAGCCATCCATTATCTGTTGGTCAGCTGTGGGTCGCAGAGGAGCTTGTGTTTCTCTAGAGCAGTTATTGGGAAAGAGTCGGGATACACCCTGGACAAGGCAACACAAAGACACAAGACAAACACCATTCACACACTCACAAGTAAAGGCAATTTAGAGAGACCAATAACCTGACTGTAATATTTTTGGACTCCTGAAGTACCCAGAGAGAGCCAATGGAAGCACAGGTAGAACATGCAAACTCCATCCTTAAACACCCCAGACCAGCACACACATCCAGGATCTTCTGCCTTGTTTCGTGGTAATCTTATGGTGCTTACATACACTTCTCATTTTTCTCTGTCAAGGTTTAATTTTCTCCATTGTGTAGCCATGATGCCACAAAAATAACTTTACAATTCTGGGCTAAAGAACTATTATTTTGTCAGGTGGAAACATGTATTGATTGAATTTATCAAAGAGCAAGTCAAAAATTGCTGCCTCTTTTCTGCAGCGGAAAGTTTACAAAACTATAAAAACAGAAAATCTCTAATTTTTCCACTTTATCTAATGTAAAAATGCTGAAATCACAAGAGCAAAACTACAACACTATACAACTAGATATTTATTTCAAGTGTTCAGTTTAAACCAACTGCAGCAAGACAGAGGGAATTCAGAAAATATCTCGACTTATTTTCCATCTGAGTCCGTTGAATGTCTCATCGGTGCTGAAAAGAGATCCCACTCTTTTTCTTCTGCCGGAGCCAACAGGCACTGATTTTGTTGAAGCTCCAAACAGCTTTGCCTCCAAAATAAACCTCATGTTTCCCAACATCCACGGCAAGAATTTGTATAATTTCAAAGGAGGAATAAAAGAAATGAGCAACTGAGAAAAATACAAATTCCAAGAAGCGATCCAGAGGAACTTATGAAGGTTTACAATCACGCAGAGACAGAAAGAAATTAAAAACAAAAATGGATGGTGGTCTAAGAGATGAAAATGGAGCAGACAGAGATGTGATGTGAGTGGTGACAGGAAATGAGAACTGACTGCAGGTAGGGGAAAAAAAACACACATAATGACAACAATTAATTAGGGTATTTCCTGTAGGAAACGCTATCATGTCAGCAGGCAAACAGAGCCAGCGGGACCCTGCTGATACAAACCAGCACCACAGCTCACTGCAGCAGCTCCGAGGCTAATCACAGGCGCAGCTCTATTAGCTGTTTTCAATCCAATCTCATTTTACATTGGAAGCATTTAGCTGACACACATTCACAGCAATTTACATAGAGCACACCAAGGCATTAGGCTTTAAAGCCTCACTTCATCAACTTCACAAGTGAAGATGGTGCGGGTCGCGGCAGCTGCAATAAAGACCCAACTTATATTCTCAAAGACATAAGAGGTAATATTGTGGAAGAGAAAGTTAATGAACACAGCAAGTTTGATTTATGTTTAATATATACAATAACACGGCGACGAAACACTTCACTGCGGCTGAGCTTTCTGGGATATATCATACAGCAAACGTTCCTGCACACATACTCTCAGGGAACCGCATATGACCTGCATGCACAGTGGTTTTAGTGTCTCATGCAAACTCCAAGACATGCCTACGTTCCTGAATGCAACAGGAGAATTTACGTGTGTGTTTTGCCAAAACGTACCCATCTGTAACACAGTTGCTATAGCGCAAACCCTTCTGATTTCTAGTAAATCTCCCAAAGCTGCTATCACACTGTTTTTTTATCTTTTTGCGTATGTTGGTGAATCTAAAAACACTTTTTTTAGGTGGTCTATAAGAACTACTAAGTGTTAAAAAAAATAAATGGCTGAATTGGGAAAACAGACCAAACTCCCCGGCCAAGAATGCCACAGATTTAAAAAAATGTTCAT